ATGTGTGTGTGTGTGTGTGTGTGTGTGTGTGTGTGTGTGTGTATGTGTGTGTGTGTGTCTCATCCATAAAAAAAAAAGATAAAAACAGAAACACACATGTCTCTCTCTCTCTCACATACACAAAGAACCTACATTTGACTGGGTAATTCTGAGACCCAGCAGGAGAATGCAGTAGCAGAAACAGCAGTAGCAGAAGAAGAAACAGGAAGAGTAGGAGGAGGAGGAGGAGTATCAGAAGAAGAAGTAGGAAGAGGAGGAGGAGGAGAGAGAAGGAGAAGGAGAAGAAGAAGTAAGAAGAGGAGGAGGAGGAGGAGAAGGAGAAGAAGAAGTAAGAAGAGGAGGAGGAGGAGGAGAAGGAGAAGAAGAAGTAGGAAGAGGAGGAGGAGAAGGAGAAGAAGACCAAACCTAATCCCAATGAACTTGAAGCCACTCCCACTTCTTGTGTTTGCTGCAAGCATACATGACAATAATAATATTGTCCAAATAATTCTTCAACAAGATCTTGATCTCCACACCCTTTTACTTTTACATCCACTATTCCAGACTGCTGGTAATACTACTGTAATGAAGACTCGAGAGAATGCTCCTCTGTCCTTCCAGCTAACCAACAGGTCCCAGATTATAATACCATAAGAATAACAGGTTGAATATGGAAACAGAACACAGAAATATTTGAGAGCAGATCTTGAAGAGAAAAAACAACAAAGTGTACATATATACATAAAAAAAGAAAGATTTCAGCAAATTTTCGGGGTCCAATTTCTGGCTATTTATTTATTGAACTGATTCAAGAAAAAAATAAATGGCTTTGAGAAACAACATGAAATAAAACAGAGATATGGTGCGTGCTCAGGAGATCTGACAGTCAGCCAGGGTAGGAGCAACAACTTGTCCTTTGCCCTCAATGATGAGTGGCGCCCCTTTGTAAGTCGCAACTCGGCTGGCACTTGTTCGCACATCTGGCTTGAGTGTCTCCCAGATTTTCTTTTTAGGGTTGAGCTGTCCATCCGGGGTTCCTAACAAAACGTCAAAATAAAACAGAAATTTAAATTTAGTTTTAATAGGAATTTTACAGCACTTGCAACACAAATAGGTCAGATGTAAGTGTCAAAGATAAAGAGGTGTTACAACAGAGTAACATACAAAGAAACGATGAAGGAGAAAAAAAGACCATAGATGTTCGATAGGAAAGAAGGAGCAAATCACACCAGAGCATTCACCAACCACCCATGAAAGCTTTAGTTTTTCCTCTGCAAAGACAAGGACATGATAAGAGTTAAAATAAAAGACTCCAGTCACATAACAGCACTGAGCCTTCATAATAAAAAAAACTCCACAGGGCAAACCTGAACTGGGACTTGATTTAAACTACAGCTGTGTTGTCCCATGTAAAAACACCACTACTGCAAGAGACACACCAAGACAAAATGTGCAGCACACAAGAGTTTTAGTTTAGTCTTACGGCGCTAGCAACACAAATGGGTCATATGTTATAAGTGCCAAAGATTAAAACTGTTACAAGAGAATAACATACAACAAAAAGGTGGGGAGATGACAATTGCTGTTTGATAGGAAATATCACTCTCTGACATTCCCTCATCACAGTTACATTGAAGGCGTTGCTGGGCCAAACTAGATTGAAAATCAAAAAGAACTAAGACTCAGTGAAAAAAGAGAAATTCCTGGGGGGGTTCAATTCAGTAAAATCAGGAAAATAACTAGTTTTCACCGAAGACGTAAATGAGAAAACTAAGACTCAATGAAGTTGCTTCCATACCTGACAGCCCAGGCTGATAATATGGCTACATGCACGAACTTATCTTCTCCATTCCAACCAACTGATAAAAAAACCCACACCAGCTTGGTCTTAAAGTAAAGGAACAACAGAGCTGCCCACAACGTACAGAATATCACCAAAACAATCGCAATCCTGCCTGTCTCACCTGGAAACTCGAGGACCTTCACTCGGTCACCGATTACGGAGTCCGTGGGAGGGACCAAGATTTCTGTCTTCTCTGGTCCCACGGCACACATGATCATGCCCTCGGAGAGCACACCTCTCATCTTGGCAGGCTTCAGATTACACATGAACACGGCGATCCTCTCCCTCATCTACACTCACAGGAATAGACACATACAAGCAAAAGTGGTTAAAAAAGTCCTGAACACTAAGACAGTCAGTCAGACACAGAACCAAGAGTGGTTAAAAAGTGTCAAAACCTGTTAAGTATGCCAAATATTTGCTGTAGCCTACATTTTCCAAAGTTACCAAGACTTCAAATACACAATCAAACTTTTCCAACATGATTACCTATTGTTGCTGAGGAAAAAAGTGGTTGTTTTAGGCAGGTGGTTCTTTTGGAGATAGTCATTAAAATATAGAAAAAGCAAAATGGGAGATGTGGGAAGTGGTTGTTCATACAGCTGACTGTCTTGGACAAATGATTTGCTAAAGCAGGTTCCACTCTATTTTTAAAAAAAGTAAGCAATAATCTTCAGTTAAATATTCTGTGATCTATCTCACAAAGTTTTCATTGTGACTAAAAAAGATGCCCCTGCCTGTTGACACAATTTCAATCACTTAGAAGGCCAGCTTCTAACTATGCCTCTCAGGGCCAACCTAAGCTGAGAGTGATACAAAAACCCAGCAGAAAGACCAAGATACTCAATAAAAACTCTCCCCACTCGAGAATCAAACTTATGTATCCTGTGTGCAACAGCTAATCACCAAATCACTAAATCACAGGTGCCAGTTTATTGTGGCTTAACATTATAAACTTCCCTAAGCCAGAGTATTATTGTATGTCAATCATAGGAGGTGAAGATGAAACAAACACATCAAGATAAAGATGACAAAATTAAAATAGGAACACAAAAAGAGCTGATGGGTTGAGGAACAGTAGTGCAGCAACAATATTTTCCAATTTGGGGCCATCGAAAATACTGACTCTATTTGCTAATGACTTTAATGCCTAATTAGAAGTTGAAAGTTTATTCTAAAGATGTGGCACTTGGTGAGCAGCGGATCTATTATTCTCAAACGCACCAACACAGGAGCAGGAGAAAGCAGAGAAAGAAAGCCGATATAAACCAGTTAAAACATTATCAATAATAACAAACAAACAACGGTCTCAGAATTGAGAACACTCACTGCATTGATAGGCACATGCTTGACCAGTCCGCTGACCACTGTCCTTGTCTTGCCCTCTCCCAGGTCCACCTGCTCCACGTACAATGAGTCGGCGTCGGGGTGTTTCTCCACATCCACAATCTTGCCCACTCGGAGGTCCAGTCTGGAGATGTCCACTGCAGCATCTGCATTGTCTCCCCCAGAGGCTGCGCCAGCCTTCTTTGCCTTTCCTTCTTCTATAAAAGAATCAAATAAGGATTCAAATTATCGATTATCTATTGGTGGGGAAAACACGATTACAGGAAATCTTCAACAAGGGAAAGCATAATCACAGATGATAAAAACAGGGACACCTTGCGTACATTTCCTCTTGACCTAAAAAATCCTTGTGTTTGGCATGAAAATATAAAATCATTCATGACCAATTTCATCTACTGTTTGAAGCAAAATTTCCGTGGTGGCACAACACCAACAAAAAAAGCTCTGAAGCTCAGTACCACTATGACATGCATTTTTTAAAAAAACAACCCCCCCCCCCCTCCCCTGATATTTCAGATATAAAGTTCCAGCATTATAAATACAATTTCCTGAAAAACATTGTCTTCAACTTTGATTTGAAGTGATTAATTGAAAGAGACATTTTAACATCTAAATCCAAATTGTTCCAAAGTTTGATGAAGAACTTTTTACTTCTAGGTTCATAAAATTTTACATTTTCATAAACGAGAGAGTCTGAGGTAAATATAATATCTCTTCAATGCTGGAGGTTATTCCACAACTCCCAAGAAGTCCAGAAAAAAAAAGATTTTTAAACAAGACATTTACCTCCTCCTGCTCCTCCCTTCCCGCCTTTCCCTCCTTTCTCAGTCTTCGCCTTCTTGCCGCCAGCATCTGGCTTTTGTTCTGGTTTGGATTTCTTTCCTGCATTTTCACTTTTCGCTTGCTGTTTCTTCTCAGGTGCAGGAGCAGAGCTGCCGTTGACGACAGGGGGTGCCGATGCAGTTGAGGCCGAAAGAGAAGACAAATCTCCTTTGGTAGGCATTTTCACCTGTCGCACTGAACAACAAAAAAAGAATAAATCAGTATGAAAAATTCAAAGAAAAGTGTTTTAATCCATTCATTGAAAAGTATCTTACATGTAGTGGTGATTCACTTGCATACACAATTTGTCAGTATTATCTCCTTGCACATGCCTCACACCCACAGAGCCTCTCACTTAAACACATTGTCACACCAAGCATCTGTTCATATACACATCCCAAAAACTCACACCCAAAACCACTGTATGCTGCAACTCCCCGCGCCTCAAACTAATATCACCTTCACCACACACACATCACAAATAGCTTACCTCCATTTCCAATCTCAGCCAAGGCCAAAGCCTTCTTCAAAGCCAAGACTTCTCTCCTGATGGCCTCATTCTCCTTCACCAGTTGTTCTTCCTCCCCGCGACCCGCTTCTCTCACTGCGGATAAAGACAAATTCATTTCATTGTAAGTAAACACACTTCATCAGGAATTCAATCAAATGCACTCATTTATAAAACTCAGTCACTTCAGCACCTCAGTAACAAGCAGCTCTCTGCCTAGCACATTTTTTAACACCTTTTGGCATAATTTTGAAAGAGAAGAACAATCCAATTAGACTTATCTACAACTTCACTGTACCTCGTATAATGTATGTCTATTGATTTTAAATGTACTACATTCAAAGGAAATTTGCAAATAGTACTGTAACAGAAGCCTCCAACCTGTATATTTTCATTTCATTTAATTTCAAGATGCTATTATAAGACCTGATTTTTAAAGAGATGAAACCAGGAACACATTTATTTGTGAAGGTAACAAAGTATATGAATCAGGTAAATGGTCAAAAGAACTGCCAGAGCCCAGAAACAGTTTATTAACATTTTATTTCGAAGCGCTAAACTGGGCCTACATTGGGAATCCACCAGTTATAAAAAGATGCTAATAGACAAGGCGCAATGGCCAGCTTCAGGGCAATGTGAGCAAAAAATCTGACAAACATTGAGTGTTGCTTAAACAACATAAAAAAAAAAAATCAGTTTATCAATTTTTTCATCTAATGATCCAATCATAGTTGTGTCAACAACAAATACTGACAAAAAATATTTAAAAGCATAACTTACAAAATAAAGGAAGTTAGCATATAATATTCTTAGCAGTGAAAGAAAGAGACCGGAGAGGACAGAAAGAAAATTCAGACAAATATGGGGATTTGTTTGTGGAGTCTGACAATGAAGGCAATCAAGAGGATGAGGAAGAAGAAGAGAGAAGCCAAATTAGAACTGATTTGTGAATGATCCCCATACATGAGGGAAAGGCTTTTAAACATTGACAGCATTTTGAATTTAAACTTCAATCATGTATAAAAAAATAATCTATCTTTTTCACATTTTCATCACGTTTGGTAGCTTTCATAACATTTTCTTAAAGTGTGAATTTCATCTGGAGTTAGGTTCGTGTCTTCACAGGGCATTAGGTGGGACTGAGTGAGTTCAAATACTGTGAAAGGGTTTTCCTTAAATCAATGTACATTCTGTGTTTCACAGCACAATCAACAGCAAGCAACTGTACCTGCAGCTTTTCTAACAGCTTCTATCTGGCCCTGTAGCTCAGCCAGGATACGATCCGTTTCCTCTGAACGAGCTTTGATCCTCTGTAGGTCAGCCGAGCTTGCCATTCTGCGGAACGGAAAGAAAACAATGCATAGTAAGTACACACAGTCATGCTGTCCATGACAGTCATCCAATACCGAGGAGAAAAAGGATTGTGTTAACAAGTTCATGTCTTGAACAGTGTCATTATTATTGTATAGAAAAACCCCCCAGACGGAAGTAAGAAGTAATCATTTGTGATTGTCTTTGATAGCTGGCTGTTAGAGCAAGTTTGACTCTAACTTTTACGTCCGTATATAAGAATGGTTTGAGAAGTAAAGAGTTATTCAATGGACGTGACATTCTCATACACTCCTGACGACATTTCATTTATAAATTATGCATAACATGTAGGATGTAGCTGAAGAAGAAAAGAAAGAACCCACTCAAATTTTACCAACCTTCAACTTGTTTAAAAATCTTTAGTGATAAAGTTTTAAGACAAGGAGGAAAAATTGAACAATATTTTTTAAAGATGAACTACATGCTACATGCGATATCATATTATGTGTCCAAAATTTTTCACTTATATTATCACCAGCTTGCAAATTTATAGTGGGAGACAAAAAACCACGAGGTCAATAGTAATTCAATAAACTTAAATGAATTATATTACTATTATTACAACTTCCAAAACTAACCTGTTAGTGAGTATTGAACATAAAAAGGATGATGTCGGCAAAAGATTATTTGTCTTCAAAGACTCAACAGCAGATCTACCAAAGATTTGCAACGTTCTGTTCAGGTGTACAGCAATCATCTGCAACAGACAAGAAACGAAATACGTTTTTCGACACAATAGCCATATATTCATTGAATCAAAAGACGGTGCAAAAATCAAGCTGTACAGAGATAAAAAGAATTAATGAATATCTTCTCTCTTAGTAAGCTTACTTCACATGGACAAAATAAGTTTAGTGCATTCAATTTGTAAACTTGTCTACTTGTGTTGCTGCTGTTACACATCTAGAATCTAGATACAATCAGAATAAATAGGCCCATGTATCGGGGCAGGGTGAATTTACAGACCCACAACACACCAGCAGAAGGTACAACATATCATTGGGTAGTAGAGAACATGGAGACTTGATTCTTCAATTACAAAGACGTAAAAAAAATTAATTTGGGTCTAGTCTAGCTTAGGCGTTGTTGGAGTTGTAAAACTCTTGAAACAAATTTGACGACTTTTACTTTTGTACTAAGAACAAGTTAGGTGTATCAATTTGATAGTCTTCCATGTGAAAGGTTAGTATGAACACACTACACACTTAGACTTCAAGTTTGTTCATGTACTTCAAACCAAGAAGAAGGAAGTAGTAAATAGATCAGAGAGTAAAATTTAAGTGAAAATGTTTGGACAGGTTGTTCTGAGAATTGAGACTGAAATTGAACAATAAGAGCTCCATGTGCTCACTTTCAGAGAAAACCACAGCACTGAAGTAAGACCATACTGTCTTAGAATTAGAAAAGTAGTGCAAATTAACACGATGAAAAAGCTGCCCCTGTTCTTTAGATCTCTAAATTTAGTAAGGAGGCCTTCTAAAACCAAAAAAGGTCGCGCTGGCCTGCAGTTGCAGTCCTCTCCTCTCTGCTCTGCAATGACAGCATCTCAGGCCGACAACAGAAAAATCACATTTGATGTACAATTCATTTTTGAAAAGTGAGGACTCTTGGTTCAAGATCTAAATCTATGTTATATGCAAGTTAAATTGCATTTGACATACTCGTAAAACTAGCTCCAGCTGGTGCTAGTCTGACCGGACCAATTTTTGTTGATGTCTTGCCATGCAATCGCCCTTTTGTTGTCCAGAGTAGTCGTTCTTGATGAAAGCGCAACTGGTATGTTAAAAAATATACCTTTCTGCCACAAAACAAACCAATTGAGTATTGACCAATTGTCAATTCAGTTCCTTCATCATCAGCAACACACCCCTTTTGAACTGTCCCTTGGATTATATTTATGTCGGAAACGTAGAAAGACCCATGGAAGCTCTCCCATTGTTTTCGAAAGCAGTTGATTCAGTTATGATGTCGGATCTGTAAGCTAGTTTGGTAAGCAAAACAAAACATAAGAAGTTGACCACTGTTGTGTCTGTGTGGTGGTGACTGATGATGAACTGACAATTGGAAAACGAGCCATTGGTTGGAAAAACGAAGATGCACCCCCCCCCTCCCCCCTTACTCTACGATTCCTCGAAGCGCTTGGGAAATGAAACAATAATTTATTGGCTCTTGCGTTTATTGTGCCTTACTCTTTTTCCATTACACAAAGACATCTGCTCTTTTCTCAATTTTACATTGTTTAGTGTTAAAATTTTAAAGTTAAAGCAAGAAATGATAGGCTGCGCCTTATATTTAGATCTATATGTTTTATTATTTCAAATGATGTATTGTCCTTTTAAATTATTTCTCCTTTTGTCTGTGCAAGTGGAAAGGGGCCGGGGGTTGGAGGGTACTTTCTTTCTCTTATAATTTCTTTAGTAAAGTTGATTGGGGCTCCTGTGTTTTTAACCCAATTGTGGCGACTAACGTGTTGTTATGTGTAGTACGTGAGTTCATGAGTGAGAGTTCAGGGAAGGTCGCCAACCTGTTCTAGTGAGTGTGCGAATGTCATGTCTCGTCCTGAGGCCTTATGTGTGTATCTCGCTTCATGTGACAACAGGATTTATGCTCGCTGTCTTTCTACGCGTTCTAATATTTTGCTAAACGAAAGGACATGTTATGCTACATTGGTGACCCCGACATGATCTAAGGTAACCTTGTCTAGAGATCTAGATTTAATTTAGCATAACCTAGAATCTAGTAAAGGCGATACGTTTCTCACAATCATGGCAATCGAAAATGTAGCACTCAAACTTCCTACGTTCTGGATTTCTTGTCCTTCCGTGTGGTTCGCACAAACAGAGGCCCAATTTGCTTTTGCGTGGGATCACAACTGACGAGACATGACATTCGTACACTCACTCGAACAGGTTGGCGACTTTCCCTGAACTCTCACTCATGAACTCACCTACTACACATAACAACACATAAGGTTAGTCGCCACACAATGATTATTAAAGAGGGGTGATAATGAAACCGATGGATTGTTTCAATGTCAAATTTTACTAAGATTTTTGGAGGTAAGAGATCATTCCAGTTTAGTCTGCAAACTAAATCTGTTCTAAATGATTCATGGTATGGTGTCAAATGCCTCCCTTTCCAGTTGAAGGCAAAGATCCGCCTGAGAATATGCCAGCTCTTGGGACAGCCGGGTTTGGCATCAGGACTTTTTATGCCGCAACTCACCCCAATGACAAATGCGGAGCCAATGGACTACCGTTGACACCAAACTCTGTGAAGATCTTGGGTCGTTTCCAGTTCCTGAAGACGCTGTCTCACCCAAGGCTTTGTCAGTATTTGGACATCAGCAAGACAAAACATGGTAGGCTGTGCCTGTTCTTGTTGACTGTTTGTTTTTACTGTTTTCTTGACGATACAACTCAACCTGTTTGACTATCTGTATATATTAAAGTGATAAAATCTTTTTGACTCCTCCACAGCTTTTCATAAAACCTCTCCCTCCCAAGTTTATACTTGTTATAATCAAACAGGCTGCCGTTAAGAATGCTGGAGAATTGAGAAATATAGTCTTATTTTATTCATGTAAAATGTAATGGAAATAAAGTCGACAACCCTTTTACAGAGTGTCACACTTAATGACATGTCAAGTGTCAAATATGTTGTTGTTTTTTTTAGTCCTCGCCCTCCTCCCACACATTGTGTACATTTTAAATTTTGGTGAAATTACTTTATATTGATTGTTATCTTCTCTTGTCAGAATGCATGCTGGTTGTGTCAGAGCACCACAGCTCCTCGCTCAAGGAGTTGATAAAGAAAGAGGGAAGTATCGGGTAAGTTTTCACTTGTGGGAATATAGAAACGTATGTCCTGATTTCTCGTAGCTTAGCATAGTCTCTATAATGTCACTTGAGATTACGTTCCACAATTATAAATACAGTAGTCGGACTATAAAACATTTGATTTATTGTAGCATGTAGTGTTGACTTTTGCTGGGGTGGAAATTTCAAGGAAGTATTTTATCCCTTGGGAAAAGACTATGTCACTAAGGTCCGTTCTACCCTGGTCCGTTCTTCATTCGTCAAAAAAAAAGAAAAAAGATAGTGTGTTGTTTATTGCTGTGTTCTGATTTTTGCTGAAGTTTTTCATTTTGGCCCACTGTTGTTACCAGGGAGTCTGAGATTGTGCGTGTGGGCTACCAGCTGCTGGAAGGATTGTGCTATCTCCATAACAACGGCGTTGTTCACCGGAACCTTAGTGTGGAACATGTTCTGCTGGATGTCGAGGTCAGTCACCGAAATGATGGGGGTTTGTGGGTGTTCACGATCACATGTTCATGGACAAGAATATAAATGCTCTTTATTTTTCTTTTGTGAGTTATTTACTTACTTATGGACGCTCTGAATAAATGATTTTTTTTTTCAACAAATTCCTTGTACAGTTGTGAGGCAGTTCGTTTGAACAATTTATTTTTACATGATGTACAAACACTGTGTACATCTATAAATACCCTTCCTGTCCTTGACAGAGGTTCAAAATATCTCAAGCTGAGGTTTAGATATGCTCATTTTTCCTGTATTTTTTATTTTTTTTTGCAGAAAAATGTAAAGCTGTCAGAGCATGGGCTCTATTACATGACTGATTACGGAGCCGATGTCTCTTTTCCAATTGGGTGAGTTCAGGACAATGTGTAGAACTTTTTATTAAGGCTGTTTTTTGTTGTTACTGTTAATGTGGCAGAATAACAAAGGACTTCTTTCCTTTTGATGATTCTTTTCTTTCCTTAACTGAGATAAGATTTTATTGCTTTACTATCAATACAACTTGCCTTGGTTTCTTTGTAATGTTGTATTGAAGTTCTCTGTGTTTTAGACTGTCTCACTATATTGTAATCTCCCCCCCCCCCCCCCCCACACACACACACTCACACTCACACACGCACACACACACATACCCACACTCATACGTACACTCACGTGCACACAACATGGATGATCAAACTACTGGTGTATTCTGTTTCCTTTAGACTACCTCGCTACATGGCCCCAGAGGTGCTGTGTTCTGGTCCCGTCAGGGTGGATGAAGAAACTGGACACTGCGTCCAGCCGCTTTCTGGGCCCAAGTCTGATGTCTGGGCGTTTGGTCTCATCCTTCTCCAGCTGGTTCTTGTAAGTTGAATGACAGATGGGACGTTTGATTGTTGTTTGGGGGGGAGGCTAATGATATATGTGAGACAGCATGGTGAAATCAGGCGCTGATCAAAACACAGAAATCAGAAAAAACAGGCATTTTTCCACCAGCTTGAAAATTTTTATCGAATTTTTTTTTTTCTCAACCTCCTTTATGTCTATATAAAAACACATTTCCATGTGAATGTTATTGAAAAACGTTGATTAAAGGCCCGAAGTATGTCATTTTTCTGTTTTCTGTTTTCAAGGACTCTTTAACCATTGGAGTTACCAAACTTTGGCGGCCTCTTTCTTGCTAATTTCACCACTGAAGCCAGACGACCTCCCTTGCTTCAGTCGTAAATATTTTGAGTTATATTCAAGATAGATGGATATTTATTTCATAGGAATCGAGTATTTGAGAAAAAGATGTATACTCTTTCTCCAGAAAGGCTATGTCTGCTAGTTGGATAGAAGTGTCCTCTTTTGAATTACTCTTAAAGCTGACGTTTTTTTATTTACATAATCTTCTCTGCTCGAGGTTATTATTGTCTTGTTGGATGTCAGACGATGATTGTTCCCAAACATATCTCTTCTTTCCCTACAGAGATAAGAAATAACAACTATTGCTGAGACATGTTCTGAGGGTGGTTGGTGAAGGATTTTCTTTCTTGATCTAAATCCAAAGGTCTTTTTCCTTAATTAAGGGAGTAATGTTTTTCAGGACAAGCTTGTTATGTGATATATGTTATTGGAGTAATCAAAAATTGAGAGTTACGGGCCCATGGGACTAGGGGGCGCTGAGCGGGCCGAACAGGGTTGCCACCCCGTGACACTTGGGGCGCTAAAACATTGGTATAAAGGCGAGGCGTGAATTCTGTCCGAGTCCCTTCTTTCCGTCTCGGTACTTGAGGCTATAGTGGCTGACGGTTCATAGCTGCCGGCAAAGTGACCTCCGAGAGCCCGACGATGTGATCTGAGCCGGCCAGCGCAGGCGAGTCGCCACGACACTGAAGCTCACATGTTCTCCTGCTCGTGAGTTGACGCAGGAATGTAAGTACAGTGTTTCTGTCTCGCAATCACAATATGTAATGTTTTTTGTAAATTAACATGTATCTTCTTTTTGTTTCAGGGGAAGGAAATTTGGGCAAGGTTAGGGATCAAGGAAACTCTACACAAGATTGTGGAAATGATCAAATCTGGTGAGTAGGGCTTTGCTCCTTAATGAATGTGTTTTTTCCTCTATCCCATCTTGCTCAGAGAAAGGTCACACACGAGTGCACTTGAATATGCCTTACCTACTGCATATTCCTATGACATTTTCCCCACATGATAAAAATGTCATTTACACTTTCCAGTGAGATGTCATTGCTCAGTAGCTAAAAGATGACAGTTCCCCCTGTGATAAGGTATTCCCTGTAGCAAAAAAGGTGTCATTTTTTTCCCTCATGTTCTCTTTTTCATGCATGCAAAGTCTGTAGTTAATTTATTTATGATTATTTTGTTTGCTTGTTTCATGGGTAGTACATAATTTTGAACCTCATGAAAGTCTAGACAAGATTTTTACATATCGTCACTGCAAAATTCTAAATGGCTAACTTGGTTTCTGTGAATTTTACAGGAGAGTGCAAAAACTAAAAATCAAGGCCATCATACATATTTTACCTATTTATAATCCAGTGTTGAAGTGACTATATGGATAGATTAATCTGGCTGAAAATTATTTATAGAATGAGTTGTGTGATGTCAGTCAGAATTCAGGAAAAAAACCTAAAACCACATTTTTGGGGTTAGCTGTTTAGAATCTTGCAGCAACAATGTAGTCATATATATACATATTTATTCATTTATCTCCAGATATGTCCCCCATAGACATTTTCCAACAAGATGCCACAGTTGCCAGCAAACTACAGGTATAACTAAAGTGATATCTGGTGCAGTTTTATGTCTCAGAGTTCTGAATCCTCTTCTGTTTTGACACTTTCCTGCCCTTTTTGTTTATCACAAAGACTTTAAAATGCGTGTATGATGAGGCGTTATTTTATATTTTCTTTTTTCTCTCTCTCAAGTCTTGATTCTTTGCTTTTTTTTCTGTTTTCAAATTGGGATTCTCCATTTGTAATTTGAACTGAAAAAAAACGAGTTACTTGTCGCAATCCACAAATAGAGATATTGGCCAAAAATTGACGCTAGGGTCAAATCTGCTGATTATCTATTAATGCCATATTTTTAAAGTATAACATTCCTTTTATTATTTCATACTTCTAAATTGTAAAAACTTCACCTGTAAGCGTGATGTGTCTATTTCCATAAGGTTAAAATCCCGAGAAGTAACTCATTTTGTCTGCACTCTTCACATTTATGTTCGTTGATGTCGTTTAGCAAGACTCGCAGCAAGTATCTGACATGATGTAGGGCTTTTTGTCTCTGGTCTCATCACCGGGTGGCTCTGAACTGTTCAGCTGCTTTCTTTGCTCACAAAGTTAGTTTATCTGGCTTTATAACTCCATTCCTTTGCCAGTGTTGATATTCATGTTTTGTATGTATTAAAGAAAAACTGTAGGATACAGACTGCACATTCATTCTCTTTTTCAAAAGGAACTAACTGTTGGTTTTCAAGTTGCAAGCTCATTTGCTCTCACTGTATGTCCGTCATGTGGGACTGAGATGATAGGATTGAATAAACAAGCCGGCTGAAGGAGTTATTCTGAAGTCATGTGATTTTTTTTTTTTTCGCAAAAGGTAAAAATAAACAGTAACAATAAAGTAATCGCTTTTAGTTTACTTTGGCTGCTTTAATTATTAACTTTCAATCAAGAGAGTTACAACAAGACTATTAAGTATCATTTTCACTTTGAATGTTTTCATGATGAATGTTGTGCATTTCAGGGAACTTCCAGGGAGTTGAGAGATGTGCTTAGACTGTGCCTGACTGTGTCCGCTGCTAAGAGGTAACTCATAGACACAGACATAATGCTTGATATACACACATACAGACAATATTGTTGACTGCAGTGTATTTTGTTGCTAATTTGACAGATTGAAGGTCCTTACTTTCTTGATCTTTCCCTAAACATTTTTCTCCTCTCCGCAGTGTGCTGTGCCTTGTACTTGTACTCTGCTTTTGACAAGACTTTCATTGTTGGCAGCAGTGTTTCTTTTATTGTCCCTCCTTCCCTCCCTCCCTCCCTCCCTCTCTCTCTGTCTCTCTGTCTCTCTCTCTGTCTCTCTCTGTCTCTGTCTCTCTCTCTCTCTCTCTCCCTCCCTCCCTCCCTCCCTCTCTCTCTCTCTCTCTCTCTCTCTCTCTCTCTCTCTCTCTCTCTCGTTTAAGAAAATGGAAGATAAAAGACATACCCAGCTTTAGTTTAGTATTCAGGGACTGGCAAAAGCGAACTGGCTTATATCTATTTCGGCGCTTTGAGCCGTGAGATTAGTGAGGAACTTTTGATTTTCCTTGTCAAAGATTTTTCATTTAATGAAAATTGAAAAAGCTTTGAGCTTTTCATAGTGCTTCGTTTTTTTCCCCTCTTTTCATATTCTAGCCATTTGAACCCAAAATCTACTGTTTCAATGCATTTGAATGTGACTAAATTTTTATGGCAACGCTGAGAAAATTGATATTAAGGTCTCCTGTGTCTTGAATGTATGGCCAGCAATTTGAACCAGGATTTCCTTGCCCAACACTTGACCTAGAGCTTTTGTTTTTCTTTATTTGACCAGGGCAAAGTCATCAGAGCTTAAACAGCATCCACTGTTCCGCGATGAGAGGATGAAGGCTGTGAGTTGATGTTGTCTTTTCCTAGCTTTCCAAAAAGCTTATGATAGTTGATTGAGTTATTGCTTTTGCTCTTTTTTCATATGTGGCAGTAGTTCAACTGCTTAGCTTTGTTAAAGCAAGGATTTTTATGACATTGGCATAATTCTATGCTGTTTTTGTACTACTGTCATGTTTGCTGCACTTCTACTCTTGTTCCTTATTGTTTCCAACTTCTCTTTCACTATCTTTGAACGATGGCAAATATTGTGTTGTAATGCTAGTATTGTAGTATTAGGGGAAATATCATAGTTATTGTGCCTCTGCTTTTGCCCTTGGTGTAGATTTCATTTTTGTTTTAAAAAAACCAACAAAAAACCGAACTAAGTTGTAAAAAAAAATGTTTAGTAATGAAAAGGAAATTAACTAGATCTAATTCTGAAAAAAATTGTTTTTTCTTTAAAACGTTTTGTGCTCTGCTGCTATCTTTACATAGTTCTCCATTTCCTTAGGTTCCACACAAAGAGGAAGTGAGAATGTGCACCACTGAATTACGCTGCAAGGATCTGGAACTCCCTACCTATGAGGAGACAATTGAGAATGGTGAGAGGGGGTTGAGTGGTCACTCCATTATGTGTAATGGATGGTCCTATCTACCAAGGCACATATTGTGATCACTCGCATGTATGTGTGTGGTGGTCATCTATTATCTATTTGTGGTGGCCGAATTTTGCTATTCAAAAGGCTTTTTAATGGCTGCATCGATCGACTTGCGGTTTTCGCCTAAAGATTCTTTAAAATATTCTCCAGATCATGATGCCCTTGGTTTTTTCAGTTTTGAGACTGTTTTACTGAAAAAAACCTAAATTTCTTTATTTCGCCGATCGCTTTTGTAGGCCAACGCTTCTGTCTCTGTAATTTTAGAAAATCCGGAAGTGATATTTCGTGAGGCGCATTTTGTTTTGAGAGTATAGATCTAGACCTTCTAATTTTTTGCATCTTTCAAGATTTATTGCCCCATTCCAGTAGAGTGCAAATATAGGAGGCCAATGACTTTTAGTTGATATTAAAGCACAGATCGTTTCTTTCATCGAAAGGGGGCCCAACTAGTTTTAAAATATTTGTGGTGGCAGTCAGTCTAAAACCGCAAATATTGATGACATTTTTGTAATTTTTGGTTGCCTTCTGTGGTTTTTTTCTGTTCGTTTTCCAAGATGGGAACTCTTTGTATTTACTGGACTTGTGACGAATTCACCGATTTTAAAGAGTTTGATGATGAGATAAGAAGCAGCTTCCACTTCAATCTTGACTTCTTCTTTCCATTTTCAATTTTCTGAGTATCTATGGATATCTATGGCATTACTTCCAGATGTTTCTTTTTTTCACAGTTTTGTATTTTATTCTAAAGACAGTACCATAATATTTAACACCATGACTTAGTACCTCAGCAGTTTACATATTAAGTATAATGACAGCAACTGTGGTGATTATTTTTAAAACTCAAGAGGTAATTTTCAGACACTGTGACTGTTTTTGAAGATATCTTGTTGTGATCTCTGTCACGCTGAAACTAGCGTTTTAAAATTCCATCAGAATTCAGCGATGATCACCTGTCTCGCCGCTCAATGTCTGAAGTTTTCTACTTGTGGCGACTCGCTGGTGGGGACTTGGAGGCTGTTCTACGCAAGGCTGGGCTGGCCAAGACTCGACGGCCGGTTCACCTTCTACCATGGTTTGTGTTAATAATAATAATAATAATGATAATAAATAGCATTTGTATAGCGCATATCCCCGCTCAACAGCAAGCTCTATGCGCCTTACACTATATTATTACCCCAGCAGACCATAGAACACTCCGACACATTCTCAGCTTCCCGGGAAGCTTACAGTGCAAGCAGCTGATTAAGCGCTCAAACACTAACAAACTGACAAGATCTTTTGCTGTCTATAGCCGGGTACCCATTCCCACCTGGGTGAAGTGTGTTGTTTCCGAGATTTTTTTTTTTTTGGAGTGTGTGAAGTGCTGGTTTGTCCTGATTTTTGTTTGTCTAATTTATTTACATGTCCGTGTATATGTCTTTAAAAAAATAGAAACTTGAAATATATCTCTTTCTTCAACTTAAAAAAAAAACTGCTTATCTGTTGGTGGAGGTCTGAAAGAGATTGATCGTGTATATATTGCATCAGCATTATTTCGTTGCTTCTACCTTTTCTTATCTATTAGTGTGTGTATTTTCCTGTGTGTGTGTTCATGTTCCTGTATGTGTGTTCATGTATGTATGTTCGTGTGTGTGTGTTCATGTATGTATGTTCCTGTGTGTGTGTTCATGTATGTATGTTCCTGTGTGTGTGTTCATGTATGTATGTTCCTGTGTGTGTGTTCGTGTATGTGTCTGTATTTGTGTTTGTGTGTCCCCAGCTATGGCATCGTGGATGGAGAAGTTTTCGGTCAGGACCGCGATTTTGCCGAGCTTCTGGACTTTAC